AATAGCTTTATTTATTGCACAATCAAAGTAATTTTTTTTAACGCAATGTAAATTCTTTAGACCAAATTTCCATATAGTTTCTAATAAAATTTTGGGCCTATTCTCTGTTCCAGGCTTCTGTGCTGTGCTCCAACCTTCCTGAATTAATTTGGTGATTTGAGAACAATACACTGTGTTTTACCTTGTTCTACCTGTGGCCATTACAGATGTAACCGTTCTTTTGAAAATAAGGCAGGCTTTGGGTCTGACTATTTCTAACATACTTGGTCTCAGATTGCAGTTTCAAATAAGTTATTTTTTCCAGCCTTTACTTGCTGTAGTAGATTTGCTTTTGCACTCATGTCATTCTGGTGTGAAGAGCAAGAGTCTACATTAAAAATCCAAGCTCTGATATCCTGTGGTGCAAGACAGCACTGCTGCTCCATGGGTGACTGGCTACCCAGATGTGGGGTCAGTGGGCTGCTTAATCCTCAGATACCTGGGGTTTTTTTTATAAATTCTGAGCAACAGGTTTTTCTTCCAGATGTAAAGTCAGGTGCCTTCGTGTTTTAAGTTAGAAGGTTATACTCTTAAATATGCTAGGAAGCTCATAATTATTGAGAATTGGTAGAATAGTCTCCTTGATGATTTAATTTCTGTAAATAAACCAATTTTAATTCTTGCACTGTAAATGTTAAATAATCTGGTGCTTATACATGACTTCATAATTTCAAATTGTTTTTGTTATTACAGTATTTTAGCTTTTGAAACAACCAAAATTATTTAAGATATGGTAAATTTCTACAAACTGAAGGTGCTTTTACAGTAAATTAGACTTGGAAATGTCACTATTCTTCCATAATACGTTTTTGTTCTTATGCATTTATAGCAATAGTGTAGTTCAAGAATGAAAGTAGGCTAAATGCTAGTATTTGCACTGTTCCTAATCTTGTATGTAAGCACTGATAGATACTGTAGGATTTGTGCTGTGTGTGCATTTCATTTTCTCATATAGGTTATGAACTTAAAAGGAAGACTACATAGCTAACAATTACAATGGCAATATTCAAGGTCATAAGAGATTCCAGATTAGAAGTAGTACTTTAAAATTAAATGCTTGGGTTTTAACTTGTATTTTCATTGAAAATATTAAGTGAGACTTAACTTTTTATACAGATTCAGCTTTACAGAAGCCCTTATCTTTAAGCTCTGAGATGCTTCTGGGAAGTCAAAGTGTCTTCAAGTCCTCTTTCAGTTCTTGCAGGAAAAAAAAGAAAGCTTTCTTTTAAGTAATTACTAACATTTCACAGAATACAGAATGTTTAAATTGGAATAGACCTAAGAATTTTACTGAAAATGGAGTATTTTGTCATTTTTAAGCATTTATACTGTTGATCAGAAGAACTGGCTTCTTGTTTCCAGTATGGGTTACAGTTCAGTGCCTTTAGGAAAATGATTACAGCTCATGGAGCATTAATCATTTTTAAAAAAGGCATTTGTAGCTTTTTAAGAATACAGATCCACTTAAGAATACAACACACTTCCTGCTGTGAGAAAAAAAACTTGGCAATTATTTTTAAGCATGTTTGATCAAAATTACTGAACTATGGAAATTAACCATTTGTATCTTACTGGTTGGGTACATAGTTTTGTTATGCAGAAAAAATATGCAAAACTGCATGATCAAGAGCTCTCAGCAAATACTTCTCATGCCTATACTTGCAACAGGATCCTTCAGTAAGGATGTCTGCAAGGCACTGCAGTATGTGGAAGTTGTGCTTCATCCCTGAGGAGCAGTTTAGCTGCATTTGCAAGGCACTTTTAAAATTAAAAAGTGAAACAAGACTCTGTAGAAGAAGGTGGGGGCTTGTCCATTACTTCTGGTGTAATAATGCAGGATCCCGGTGACTTGGGTATTGTTTCCAAAAAGTAACATTTTTCAGGGCAGCATTGCATGCCTGGCAGAAAACAGGGAGACAGTGTTTTATTATATGGCTCATGCATGAAGGGTTATGTCTTCCTCCTCTTTGTTTAAAGCTCAAGAACTTGATTGTTTTCCTCACTTGTATGTAAATGGCACATCAGTGCTAATTAAGTAGAAAGTATGTACAGCTAATAGGGTTAAAATCATTACAGATTTTATTAAATTTCCATTATGTTCTTTTGAAGAAAGTTTGCATTAGTCAACCCTTCAATTGTATTAAGTAAAATCTGTAACTACCTGTAACATCTGCTGTACTAATGATTGTGATTTTGTTATGAATTGATTCAAAAACTGAAGCACACCATTTAAGAGACTATGACTAAGTTGACATTTTCTTCTATATTTTCTCTGTAAAATTAAATCACTTTATAAATAAACTTACTGAAGTATGAATATAAGGACTGCGGGTCATTGTGAAACGTAAAGCCTGTGCTGCTGGTAGAGGTTATTCTTTCACTGCAGAAAGGTGAAAGATTTAGGTGTTGTCTTAAGCCAATCAGCAGCAGTGATTATACATAATACCAGGAAAAGAAGTATTATTTTTTAAGGTCAGTTGCAAATGTGGATGAGGAGCCCATTCAACACAATGGAAAGAAAAAGAAAATAAAAAGGTGTTGGATGTACTGAAGAAAGGAAGTATGTGAGTTTCAGTCAGTGCTTTTAGAGTATTTATGAAAGATGGAGGTTTTCGGGTTGGTTTTTTTTTGGTCTATATAACTTATTAAAAGAACTGGATGTGTGGAAACAGTTTCACATGTGCCCTTTTGTTTCTGTAGAGTGTTCATTGAAGCTGTAGAGGTTTTGGGGAAGTACTAATACGTCACAAACTTTTCATGGCTCTGTAACGGGAATTTTCCTGACAATGTCACACCACATCTCCCTCAGTAACTTACCTTGGAGATGAGGTACCTCTGTGTCTAGAATACTTGTAGGTAGCCCTATTCAACAATAAGATGACAAGTTATGGTAAAACATCTCCAAAGGCAAAGAAACAGCATTAGAAATTTATTCAGAATATAAGAACATTTGTAAAATAAGTATTATAAATGCCTCTGTATAAATAAATGCAGTTTTTACAATTCTATATCAAATAAACACAAAATAGCTATTTTACAGCTGCTAGGAAACTAAAAAGTAGCAACACATTTAAAGCTAATTCAGTATGGTGAAAAATTTATAAAGTTACAATGTATGGTGCAATATTAAAAGAGGAAAAATCCTATTAGAACCAGTAGAACAATACTGACATGAATGCAAACTTAGTCACATGTGCTTTGCAATAGCTAACAGTACATTCAAGCTGGTGAAGATGTACACATATACTTCGAAAAAAAAAGTAATTTTTTTTTTTTTTCCTGAACACACTGTGAAATACAAAGTTTCGTGCACTCTGGGTACATAGAAAAGCAAAAAGTCATGAATGGATTTTAATTTTTGTTGGCAAGAACCACCTATATTTCTTGTTTTGTCAGTGTATTATTTCTGCAGTGTTAGAAGAGTTTAGTTGCTGTGGCTCAAGGCACATTGCACACTCGTGTTTTGTGTGCTGGTATTTCAGAGTTGCATGAACAGAGTTTTAAAATTTTTTGGCTTTTTTTCTCAGGCTTGGTGCCATTGTAATGGCTACACTGGAACTACAGCAAATTATTAATATTGAAGAGTTTTCACACTACACTAAACCTTTTACGATTTACCTGTTGATCTTTTCCAGCATGCCAACAAATCAATCAGTAGCTGCTTGCCTGGGCAAACTAAACTGGTGCTCTGGCAAACTGTGGCTGCTGCTGAGGCTGTGTGGTATCAGTGATTCTTTTTCATCTACAAACCCTCTGGGAAAAAAATGGCTTATGTTTACTGATTTATAATTCATTCTAAAGCACTTTCAGAGCACAGTTGGCAGGGAAGGTACACAGTAAACACAGTGAAATGGCATCAGCAAATCTTGAGGCCTAAAAAAAGCACCGAGGGATGGCTGCAGCTTTTTATGCCTCTAAACCCAGGTGCCTGTTCAGCCCTCAGAGGACAGGACTGAGAGGGAACCTCATCAGTGTCTGTCAGTGGATGTCGGAGGTGTCAGAGGATGGATCAGGCTCTGCTTGGGGGTGCTAAGCAATGAGACGAGGCAACAGGCAGAAATTGATCCTGAATATGAGGAACAAATTCTTTTCTGAGCAGGTTACTGAGCACTGGAACAGGCTGAGCAGAGAGGTTACGGAGTCTCCCTCAGTGGAGATATTCCAGAACCATCTGGATGCAATGCTGAGTAACCTGCTCCAGGAAACCTGGCTTGAGCAGACTCTACCAGTGGTCCCTTCCAACCATTCTGTATTGCTGTGGGTTTTATTCTTTCTTAATTTGTACCTATAATTTAAATTCAAGTGGTACAAAGAAATTATTTTAAGAGAATAAATTCTTTACTGTGAGTGTGGTGAGGCACTGGAACAGGCTGCCCAGAGAAGCTGCGGATGTTCCATCCCTGGAAGTGTTCAAGGTCAGTTTGAATGGGGCTTGAAGCAACCTGGTGTTGAGGGAGGTCTCCCTGCCCACAGCAGGGTGGTTGGAACAAGATGATCTTTTAAGGTCCCTTCCAAATAAGAGCCTAAGAGGCAATCCAGTGCAGTAGTTGTTTCTAGGCCTCTTCATTGAAGGGTATTTCACATGGACATTTTGAGATGACCTCAAGTCAGATGGGTGTTTCAGATGCCAGAAGACAAAAGTGTAACTGCATTTTTGCCACAGTACATAGTGGACATTTTCCTTCGTGTTTCCTCTGAAGCAAGTGTGCTCAGCTACAACTGAAGCTTATGGCAAAACCCCACATTCCTGTTGGCGAGAAACTTGGCCAAAAAAGGGAAATGCCATAGAAAGCTACTAAGCAAAACCATAAAGGCAGCAGAAATCAATGTGCCTCCTCCCTCAACAGACTGGTTTGCAAAAATTTCCATTCACATTGTAAATTAAGTGCAATTATCTTGAGGAAGAGGACTGATCAAAACCAATCCCAGGATGTTACTAACTAAAAATTTTGAAATCAGCATTAACTTGCTGTTGCAATCAATCATGCTGGCTTTGTAGATGAAATATCAGGCTCTGGAGAAGTAGGAATGACTATTTTAAGGAATGAAGACAACAGCAGCTACAGTAGAAAGAGATGAACACCAACTGCTACAGTTTCAGATGCAACCAGGATGCCATACTATGAATACAAATTCCCATATTTTGTCTGCCTGGCCTAACCCAACAATAGACAAAAACAGTTCAAGTCATCTAAAACTATTTCCTTAGTACTAGAAATGGGAGGAATAAGTGAGAGAAGTTATCATCATTCTAAATACACTTGTAAAGCTGGAGGTGCAACTCAACATGTAAAGCAAAAACGATGAATGACTCCTGAAATCAGATTCCCTAGGAAATAAGCCTGAAAAAAAGCAAAGCAGAGCTGTAACATAGTAGCAGGCTAGTACAGTGAATGGACTCCAGTTTGGCATGTTAAAACACATATGGAAGCTCTTTTATGTACTCTGTCAAAAATTAGAAGATTCTGAACATAACAGGTCCTATGGTAGACTCCTGTATTTTGACCCCAACAGAAATCAACCTTATCCCCATGATTTGCCTAATGTTCATTAACATAATAGGGCAACATTTGCAATTCAGACACTTTGACAATACAGTAATATGATGTGACTTAAATGAAAGAAGAACATGTTAGCAGTAACAAAAACCTAAGAAGCTGTAAGAAGACTTCACCATTCACATTCTGTTTGTGACAGGATATCCATACATCTACACATTTATAGTTTTGTGGCTATGTATTCAATATTAAACAGGTACATTCCTAATAAGTACCTTTTTTTGGTCAAAAAAAGTATTAAAAAAAGACATTCTACCTCTTGATCACAGTAAGCTGTAATAAGCACTATACATGTGACAAAAATGGCCCAGCTTCTTAGAGAAAACCTTGGTTATAATGTATTAGCAAGAAAAACCAACTCTTCCACAAAGTAGTTGTGAACACCATGCAATATAAATACCAGGAGGTCTCCTATAATTTCTTACCCACCCTTGGCTCAGACCATCTACGTCGAGTGGTGAAACTCACAGCCTTTAGCCCTCTTACAAACTGTAACAAATAGACCATCATCATGGTTCTCAGAGATGCAACTACGGTTTCTTGGTATTTTTCCAAATCAACAGGAATTTTCCTACCTGATCTGCACTGTGAGCAGTAGTATTGCAAATAGGGTGCAAAAAAGCAAGGCAGCCTGTCATCTCCCCTTTCTGTAGCTGCCCATTTGGTTGATTTAACCGCAACAGCAAGTCTTTCTTGAGGGTACAATATGGACGTGTGTGCAGAGGGAGTTCAGGGACTGGGAAAACTCTCAAATGATCTCCAAACAACCAAAATGAAAACCTCTCAAAATTAATTATTTTGCTATGTGAGACTGTCACCCATGGGACGTATATAAAATGGAAGAGAAGCTGTATGAATATAGACATAATGACACAGACAATGTACATAATTATAGCATGATAATTCAGGCACTGCCATTTTACATTATGAAACAGTTCTTAAGGTTAACATTTTTATTATCCCCATGACACCTCTCTGGGATCCCAGAGAAGGTGCTTTAAGTGTGTCAGCATTGACAGTCAGAGCTTTTAGCGTTTGAAGCTCCCTAGAAGTCAGCCTCCAAAACAAAGAAAGTTGTAATGGCACTAAGCATCCTTTAAAGAGATGCATTTAAAGTGAAGTTTCATTGGTGTGTGGTCTGGAGTTCTCTTCTTCCAGTAAAGCTATTCTTTGTTTGAGCATCCTCACTTGTGTTTCATGTCTCTCCACCATGGCCATCATTTGCGATTCCAGTTTCTTCAGCTTATTTTGATGCTTTTTCTTTGCTTTTTCATAAGCTGCTACCAAGTTGCTGTTAAAAACACAAGTCAATACAAGGGAATTCAAAAAGCCTTGTTCGTAGCAAGTGTTAAAAAAAATCCACCCCAAAGCCCCACCTTCAGAGAACTTTAAAGTTTGGGTACTTATAATCTTCTTAAAATTTACCAATGCTTTAAAATGGATTAGATCCAAACGTTATTGATTCAAATTCAGATCAATGTCAAAAGACATTGTCCATGTCTTTTCTGGGGAAATCACACACCTCTACCACTAAACTGGTAGAGGAAATATGTTAAAACATGGTTCAAAGAGCCAGACAGAAGTTGCTGACGATGACCTTGCAGAGCACTGTTTGTGAGTCAGGATATCACAACATTAAACATGTAATGATTTATAAGAACATTGCATGGCCAGAATCTTTTTAGAAAATCCAGGACTGATTTTGCATTTTCCATTTTAAAAAAATCACATTTACATTCAGATGATGCCATCCTTTGCTAATTTATCAGCTGCTGGGTAGGTTCTGTGCCTCCACCTTGACTGAGTAGGAAAGCTTGAGGTGGACGTTACAAAGGCTTTCAGGTATAATTTAAGAAAATTTGCATTGTGAGTGATAGGTTCCTTGCAGGAAGGCATCTGCAGTCCACCTTATTCATCCAAACACAGGGCCAGTAAAATGCCCTGAGTGAGCAGCAATACAGTTTACCTGTGATTATCCAAGAGAGTTTACTAATGAAGAGGGTGGAGCCAAAGAAAATGGAGAAATATAAAACAAGGTAACAGATTCATAAATCTGAGTTTTGTTTGTTTCTGTAAGTACATTTACTAGTAACTCAGTTAAGATTAACCTATTTCCCTACCTCTGTTCTTAACTATGTAGTTGTCAGTTGCCTACATGGGAGGTTTAGTAAGTAAATGGCCAGTCTTCGCGAACGAAGAACCGGGGAAGGTCTTTCCACCTTCCAGCCTGCGCATTGGATTTTTTAGGTGAGACACAGTGTGCGCGGAACTGAGCCCACCCTTTAATCCTGAGGTTCATCTGCCGGGGCCAAGCACGCTTGGACGGTGGCAGCGAGGTCCTCAGGACGTAGATGGATTGCCTTACAGGGCTAACAAGCTCCATCGGCCCGGGGAGTGGCCCCGACCGGGAATCGAACCCGGGTCTCTGCAGTGACAGTGCAGCGCCCTTACCCTCTAGACCACCAGGGGCTCCTGGGAGGTTTAGTAACTCCCACATCTCTAACTAGAGCCTTAAAGACTCAATGTGTGTGAGTACAAGGATCCAGAAACTTCTCATTAAGGTAAGGTGAATATTACAGTGCATTACCAGAACATAGAAAGAAAGAGAGAAAGAAAAAAAAAAAAAAATCAATGGCACATCCATCTGCTGGTAGATCCTTTACCTGTTTGCCCTTTTAAGGTCATTAACAAATTCTGCAGACTGCTGATGTCTGATCTCACTGCTCTTTGTGAGCCTCTCCAAAGCACTCACTAACTCCTGCACTCTAGCCTTCAATTTCTTCTCCCTGGATCAGGAAAAAAGGAGGTAGAAAACTATGTTCAAAACAGAAATAACACTTCAGCTTGCAAGTGAATAAACACTTGTTCTGTGCAGGGCTGACAGGCTGAAAATATTTCCCTTATTACTACTTGGATAACATAGGAGGTAGTTCTTACATTAAACTTTTCCAGATATTGATATTTATAACAGTCACCATTGTAAACTATATGATCAGAGGTACAACGGACAAAAAAGCGAACAAACTTCTCTGTATGCATTACATCACACTAAGAAATAAGCACAAAGATACATAAATAAAAGTTTAAGAATACCTGGAACATGCCACCTACTGTGTCTTGAATGAGATAACATAGAAAACTACCAAAGGCACTCAAACATCATGACCAATTTTAATTAAAAACAGCATACCAACATTGCTATTAAAAATACTTTACTAAACAAATTTCTTTTTACACAGAGCACCACAGAATGGTTTGGGTTGGAGGGGACTTCTAAAGGTCATCTGGCCAGACATCTAGCAGGGACATTGTCAAGTAGATCAGGTTCCTCAGGTTGCTCAGAGCCTCATTTGATCTGCCCTTGAATGTTTCCAGGTGTGGGGCACCTACCAGCTCTCTGGGCAACCTGTGCCAGTATTCACCACCCTCTGAGCAATTCCACTGATTTCAGTTATTGCCTCAAATTTACTCAAGTAATTTATATTTGATTATAAATATAAATACAGTCTGTACTACAGTAACTGACTAGCTTTTTATGGAGCCAGCAAGTCCAGTCTGCGTGGCAGTGAGAAAAAGTTAAGGAACAGGAGATGGGAGAAAAGGCGAGGGGGAGGGGAGGGGAGAAGAAATACAGAAGAAGAAAGAGCATTTTATTCTATGAAGGATTCTTCTTTCTTTCAAAGAAGGCAGAGCAGTGAGGCTTAAAATGCTGGTATAGTTACTACCACTTAATTGCTAACTATGAACCAAAAGCTAATTACATGAAGTGTGCCAAAATGGAAACAAGGTACCTTATAGTATTTTGACATTACAAGTATCTCTATGAGGAAAAGAAAAAAATGACTGTATGAGACACAAATTCTGAGGAGGAGCAAGCATTACAGCTTGGAGATTAAGATGGCTTTAAAAAGCATTTCCTAGCACAAGTAAGCATGTGGCATGAGGCAGGTGCTTCTCCCTGGGGAGCTCCCTGCTCAGAGCTGAAGGCTGCCCCACTCCTACAGGGCACTGTCACTGTGCTGGTGTGGAGACCCAGGAGCCTTTCCTCACAGCAGATAGCCCAGAGAAGAAAAGCATCAGATCTGAGAGAAAAAAAAAAGTTTTCAAGAATGACATGGAGCTGGGCTCAACTGGGACACAGATTTTGTAATATCAAATCTTACATTCATAACCTTTATGTGTTTGTATGTAGACATTTGTCTGCCCTTTGCTGCCCAGAACCACTTTGCAGTGACTGGCCTCTTCCTCCTGTTTTTGCTGCAGTGCTAAGGTGAGTATGCTAAGTTTCATCTCAACAACAAGACGACTGCTATCTCCCACACAAGCCCACTGGGAATGAACACCCTAAGCTTCCCCAGCTCTGAAGAGACCACACAGATGCTCCTCGAATCCCAGCTCAGCAGGCTGCAGTTCCGAGGGTGGCCTGGCTATGGCAGCCTTTTATTGCCAGAGACAAGGAGAGTGCCTGGCTTCAGCAGCTACAGAAGGGCTTTCACAAAGTCAGACGGGGATATATTCCAAGTTAACAGTTTATCCCAACAGACTCAGACGCTGGTTTACCGGCAAAATTGAGAAGGACATAAGAGGGCCCTTGTTGATGAAAAATCATCAGTATTCTTTGTACGTCCTTTCACGGAAAGGAACATGCTCTGTGTTTTCAAATAACACAATCTTTTTCCCTAGCGGTTAAAAGCTCATGACATCCACCTCAAATATAAATTTCATTTTTTATATACTATCTTGGCAGCCAGAAAGAGTCAGCACAGTCTATGGCCAAAGTCTGTGTTCTGCAAAGAAAACAGGAACAAAAATCCATTTTTTACTTTCAACAGAACATAAACAAGAAAACATCAGACTTGGCAGAGGCCAGACCTAATGTGTGTGTGGCATGGCACTACTGATATGAAGAACAGAGTAGGGTAAATTTGGTGCTTGCCTGCTCCAGGACCACAGCCAGAGGCTCTGGGAAGGTCAGTAACACCATGCTCAGCACAGCAACCTGGCATGAACAGCGAGGCCAACAAAATAAACATGCACAGCATTTGGGTGGGCAGAGAAATCTAAAAACCACACGAGGCTGACTTAACATTATGTTCAAGAAAAGGTATGGCTGTGAAAACACTGCACACTTGGGAAAAAACCCTGCAGAGCCACAGTTCACTGCCACTAAAGTCTTTAATACATCTGTTGTAACAAAAGCTGCGTGGAAAAGAAACACAGTGGAAAGACTTTGAGGAGCCTGTCATGCATGGTAAAGTTTGCTTGCTATGGTGACTGTTACATGATAAAACAATTATATCACCTTTTGTCTGTCTTCCACTCACACCTTTCAGTCAGCCCTGTTTAGTCCAAATCCAGCTAAACATCAAGCTGTTTTTCTTTATTTTTGGTCTATAACATCCTTAATCTTGCTGCTTGTCAAAGGCACAGAGCCAGCACCTGGGGCCTCCACAAGCTACTTAACTTTCAGATGCTAGATCTGAACCATCTAGCTAAATAGGTAACAGTGGGTAATACTTCAGACCTATAGATGACTCAAACTTACATTTACACATGGAAAACACATGTATTCATTCAGCTTTGAAGTCAGTGAAAACAGCATAAGCTAGTTCCAATTCAACCTTAATGTCACGGAAAATAACTGGTATTTTGATTGCACATGCTGAAATATCCCAAAAATCTTCTAAAACCCCAACCCACAGGGATCTACATTTACACCTTCTGTTCCTGATTTTAAAAATGCCTATCTAAATATCTGTACTTCAAGAGACATTTCATAGCACAAGTAACACCTGAGGAGACAGATGCAGCAGCAACAGTAAAGGCATAGTATCTTGTTTTAGTCTTGGAAATGGAGATGCACAAACACCTGGTTAATGACTATTACATGCAAAAAATATGTAAGGTTTTCCCCATAGCGCTGCACCTTTTCTTTTAGTAGCAGAGCCCTCAGAGCTGACCAGCAAATTCTCTACCCCTTCCTTAAAATTCCACGCCTCACAATGCTAACCCCTCCCACTTCCCTCCATTTCTATCACTAGTTACCTCAGTCTGGTCAGACTGTCCTTATTTCTCTTCAAAACTGATTGCTTGGTTAGGCAGTGAACCGGATTGATAATGAATCCTGAGCTGCTATTTGTATTCCTTTAATACAGTATAGGGTTAGCTGTCTTATGGAATTTCTAGCACCACTTCACTGTCCTGATTGCTCCTTTAAATCAGCAGGATTTGAAAAATCAGGCACTACAGGCTTAATATGGCAGAATATTTTAAAACAATAGTCATAGTCATATGCAGCATTTTTCCACAATGAGATGTCAAAGCTGCAAACCAGAGAAGGAACTGCATTTGAAGCGACAACCATATGAACATCCTACAACAGGGATCATCATATGGCTGTGGCACAGATTTCTGCTGCTGGTCTTCCAGAGTCGAGAATTCAAACTCACATGGAAGCTTACACACCAAATTCACACTGCAATGGTGCTCCAGGGCTGTAGTATGGACTTGTATGGATCCCAAAAAAGCATTTATATGTGTATTTTGATGGAAGAGGGAAGGAGAAGAAACTATTTTTTCTGAGAAAACAATTTCTGTGAGCCCCAAACTCACAAGTCTATCAGACTGCAGAAGTCAGCACAGATTTTGCTCCCAAGAGCTCCTCCTCCGAGTGGCTACTGCAGCTGGAGCCACAGAAAACACAGCCGTGACAGCTTGGGTGCACAGAGGCAATGAGCAAGTATTCCCAGAAAAGGGAATGAGCCCATGATCTGAGGGCATGGCTCACTTCCAGCACAAGGGTTCTCTGCTGCGGGGCACTTGAGAAGTCAGCTAGGGAAATCCCTGACTGCTCCCTTTTCAGGGAAAAGCTCAGAATGAGTGTATTCAGAGGCTTACAGCCTATGCCAACATCCGCTAAAACAGTATTTTCAGTGAAACACCTAATATGCTGGTAATAAAGACTTTTGTTTTGTATTTTCACAATCAAAACACTCAGTGGGCAGTTGCTAAGTGGTTTTCAAGGGTTTTTTATTTCAGACTTAAAGGATGACTGAATAGGAAGGGGATAACTGGTGTGTTTTGGTTTCAAGGCTACCACTGCAGCGGGTGGGGAATTCTGCCAGAGCAATAAAGGAAACTATGTGATATCGGGCACATTTCTGCAGTTTCTGTCAGTTTGGCCTCCACACAGTGACACCGTGTTTGGCACACAGTAATGTAAGCAAGGTCATGAACACCTTATATTTTCCCTCCTGTCTGGGCATTTCCAGACATGTTCAGGTTTCACATGCTAGAAGTCTTCCCAGATTTTCCTGCCCTTACTCATTTCATTGAAAATTCCCCACTGCTGCAAACAGGAAGCTGCTCTTCTCTGGCATGCAAAAAGTTGATTTTTCTGTGCCTGGCTTGGAGTGTACCCAGCTAACTCCCCTTTCTGTGAAAGCACCAGCTACCACCCCCCCTGCCCTGGGGTCAGGAGCACCACAGCTCCTGCCAAATCTGAAGCAAAAGAGGAACAATGAGCTCTCTCCAAATCAAGAGGTGAGAAAGTTTCCCATAGCCGGGCAGAGGAGTCCTGCCATCCCTGGGGCCATCCTTTTACTGACCAGGGTGCACTGCCTGCCACAAGCAGATCTCTTCAAATCCTGGCTCAGCTGTCAGAGTGGCACCATTGGCTTTAGCTCAGCACCTGCCCCTGAGCTCTGCAGACACAAAACTCTGAGGCAGCAGCACCAGCAGCAGCCAAGCAGCCAGTTCACAGGGACAGAGGCCAGAGGTTTCCTGG